GGGGGCCTCGCACAGTACGTACAGGCGAGCACGCTTTCCGACGTTGTGAGAGGAAGTTGCAGGCCTTTTAGCTGCTGCTGTTGTGCTGTCTCTTCACCTTTTTCTGTTTTGATTTCAGAACATCGTAAGTTTTTCTGGTTTTGTAGTCCCCCGTTCCCGACTAACCGGCACTTTCCACACACAGACTGAAATGGCGAATACCCGTTACGAGACGGTGGTCGGCATGAACAAGGGCCACAAGGTGACCAAGAACGACGGCTACCAGAACCGACCATCCCGCAAGAAGGGTGTAAGTACTCAATCTTTTGCCGACCTTTCGCCTGTTTCCAGATTCTGATCTGTGCTTTCCCCCTCCCTAGGCCGTCACCAAGCACAACAAGTTCATCCGCAGCGTCGTTCGCGAGATCGTCGGCTTTGCTCCCTACGAGCGACGATCCATGGAGTTGCTGCGTGTGTCCAAGGATAAGCGTGCTCTGAAGTTCCTCAAGAAGCGACTCGGCACCCACCTCCGCGGCAAGAGGAAGCGTGATGAGATGTCCTCGGTCATCGTCCAACAGCGTAAGGCCGCCGCCGCATCTGCCAAATAAGTGGAAGTCTCGCAGTTGTAACAACCTTTTCAAGCCTACAAAATAAAACCCTTCCATCTGGCAAAAGCGTGCTTTTATTGTTGTACGGTCTCAATCGCTCTTATAGCCCAAGGCCGCCTTCTCACTTTGAAAGCTCATCTGAATTAGCCGAGCTGTGAATTGTTTTGAAGTAAGACCATTCAACAGCTGCAGAAGAAAGTTCATCACAGAGTGGGCCCAGTAGCCGGTGCCGGTGAAGCCCTGTTTGTACTTGATGGCCGCCAGTGCACTCTGCACGTAGTCTCGCGGCAACGTAAGCCGCGATTGATTCAACTTTTCAGTTTGTTTTGTGGCAATTTGTGAGGGCAGCAGCGTTGCTACAGTGATCCCCTTGGGGCCATACTCCACAGCCAGTGATTCTGACAGATGGGAGACAAACGCCTAGAAAGAAATATTTTTGAATTAGTTTTGGATTACACTGTCGACATCAGCCTTTGTACTCATCTGTACCTTTGTCGCCGAGTACAGCGAGATCATCGGCACGATATGACGGGATGACATGGACCCAACGTTGATCAACAGTCCACGGCCGTTCTCCACCATCGAAGGCAGCACCAGCTCGAGCATTTTCGTCGTTGCGATTGCATTGACGGTGATCAGCTTCTGGTTGATGTCCGGGTCAAGACGGTGCTCATTGCTGAGGAAGTAGTCCAGCGATGAGGGCGCATTGCCGACATTGTTTACCAGAATGTAAATGGAGCTGGTTCTGCCTGCGNATTGACGGTGATCAGCTTCTGGTTGATGTCCGGGTCAAGACGGTGCTCATTGCTGAGGAAGTAGTCCAGCGATGAGGGCGCATTGCCGACATTGTTTACCAGAATGTAAATGGAGCTGGTTCTGCCTGCGTCGAGGAATGCCTTCACCTGGTCGTAGATGTCCACTCGCGTAAAGTCCACTGCTAGAGTGCGAATTTGTATTTGTGTGCCGCCACCAGTGGTGGTGCTCAGCACTTCACTTAGGATCGCCTTTTTAGTGGCTTCCAGCTTGTCGGCACTTCGACTGATCAGCATCAAGTTGTATCCCTTTAGTGCCAGCTGACGTGCAAACTCAAACCTAAAAAATGGGATTTAGTTAAGAAAGCTAGAGAGCTCTAATTCCCAAGCACCATACCCTAGGCCACTGGTGCAACCGGTCACCACGCACCACTGGTCCTCGACCAGCCAAACAAAGCGTTCTCGTCGAAAGTGTTCATAGAGGTAGAAGAGCACCTTCACGGCGGCTAAAATCAGCACGACAAGTCCAATGAGCGCCAGCATTTTTTAGCAATTTTTGACGGATGCACTTTAAAGTTCTAATTTAAATGAGACAGCAATTCGGTAGTTCACTAAAGGCTATGCGGCTTCAATACGGATATGATGCACATGGAGAAATTAGACCACCAAAAGGAATAAGAATAAGCGCCGTAATTTGCGGTAATTGAGTTTTAAAAAAACTTTAAAATGATGACGAGCAAAGTGACAGATAGCACGCGATAGGAACAAACAGTTGTGTGGTCTAAACAGCTGAAAACACACAACATCTGAGCTCGGACAACCTTTTCACTTCTTTCTCTCTTTTCGTTTCTCTTTCTCCCAAATGAGGCCAATTGCCTTTGGGGCAGTCGGCGCATCCGGCTAGTGCTTTTGCTGCGGCAGCACTCTCTAGATCAGCTGAACAAGATAGCTCACACACATTCTACTGAACAAAACGAAAATTAGAATCAGTTTTTTGCGAAAACCAGTTTGACCACCACCACAACGACTGAAACACTGCAGCCTTTGATTTGTCAACTTTGTTTTTATTTTTGTAAAACTGATGTCTCATTACGACAGGCTTATATTTATGAGACAATGAAAGTAATCACAGTGAGCACTTTTTGTGGTCATCGAAGAAGAGAAACTTAATCTGCTGCCACCAGTTGAAGTGCCGGCCATCGCTGAGCATACTGTCGGCCGTTCGCTTCATCCGTGGCATGCTCCAGATGTGAAATCGCTCCAGCGCCATCGGCGTGAAGAGCCAGCCGATGCTCTGCACCACCGCATTGTGCACCCAGTGGCCCCAGTAGACGTGCGACCAGGAGAACTGGTGGTACCGAATGGAAGCCAGTGCCTTCTCTACATAGTCACGGGCGCTCAGCACAAAGGCCTGCGTCCTCGGGTTGTTGGTCATCGGCGTGCTGACCACCAGCGGACCGAAGGCGACGATGTTGACGTTGCTGTCGCGATACTCTGCCGCCAGACACTCGGAAAACTTCCAAACGTAGCTCTGTGAAGGTTGATCAAGAATTAGAGGTTGAAGAAGAAATCTCACACTACTCACTTTGGTTGCCGCGTACGCAGTGAGCAGCGACACGGGCATAAAGCACGACCCCGAGGCCATGTTGATGATCAGGCCCCGGTTTCGCTTGACCATACTGGGCAGCACCATCTCCGTCAGTCGGGTCATGGGCACGATGTTCACGTTGATCAGCGTCCGATTCCGTTTCACGTAGTCGCCGCTGAGAAAGTCATCCGGCAGACCGGCATTGGTGCCGGCGTTGTTCACCAGCACAAAGACCTCCCGCCTGGGCAGATCGAGTGCCGCCTCAATGCGCTCGTACATCTTCTCATCTTCGGTCACCGCATTAAAGTCCACTGTCATCGTCTGAATGGTGATGTCGTGGGTCGTCTGCAGCTTCACCTCTCGAGCGATCATCACCTTCGCCTGCGCCAGCTCCTCCTCCACCAGGCCGATCATCAGCAGACTGTAGCCCTTCAGTGCCAGCTGACGGGCCCACTCGAAGCCGATGCCTGAACCGGCGCCAGTGACCACGGCCCAGCTGGCGCCATTGCCGACATTTTTCGGCCAGACGAATCGTCGACGGATGAAGAGGCGGACGACGATTTCACTGGCAATGCGAATGCCCAGCAGTATGGTGAGCAGTACGGCGATGCTGTGGATCATCATCAGTGTGCGCCCACTTTCGGGATGGCAACTGAGATAGTTGCGTGCTCCCGTCTCCAGCAATCACGGGCAGTTTTATTGCTGACCGTGTTTCACCATTGCCCATTTTTCTGTCTCTTTTTCTCTTTCTCTCCCTCACTTTCATCAAAACACGGTAAGCTCATGAAAAAACCTGCTTCTCTGCTTGACCACGTGTGCTCTCTCACTCTTTTTCAGTGTGCGAGACTGGGGATGCTCCTCTTGATGATGATGATGATGATCCGTCTCGTGATGAGTTTCATTTCATTTTTGCTCTTTTGAAAACACTTCCTCTTTGATGCGTTTTCCAAATATGCGCATTGTTGTCAATTTATTTGCTCAATTTTAAAAATTGTACATACACGCAAAAGAATTTGAGCAACTCCAGAAATGAGGTGTGTCACTGCATTTTAATGACC